AATACTACTGTAGTAGACGCGATGACGTGAGTTGGCGGTTGATTCCCTTCTATGTATACAGGTGTTTTTGTGGTTTTGGGCTCGCGGGCCAGTGGGCGCTAGGCTGTCGTGACGGGCGACGAGGTTACAAGACCCGAACGGCACCTTATGTACGATTAAGAAATAAAGCATTAATTTCGATAAACAGACAGAGCTGGAGTCTTTTATCACAGTGGCGACGAGGACTTCGAAAGGACTCAACAAAGAAAGCTGGACGAGTTCATAACCTACAAGGTTGCATCACCCAGTGAGTATGGCAGAATCAAAAGAGTTTATGGCAGCCTTGCTTAAGCAAAACGAGCTCATAAGAGAGCAATTGGAACTGCAGAAAAAGGAGGCAGAGCGACGGGATAGGGAAGCAGAGCGGCGAGAGAAAGAGCTAATGACGTGGATCGGAAACTTGAACTTGGCAACAGCAGCAACAGCGCAAGGAGCGCCAGCAATAAATTACCGAATGACCACAGATTACCAGGATATTGCAGGCCAGATCGACAGGTTCGTGTACGCCCCGGAAGAGGGGCTGACCTTCGACCACTGGATCAGACGAACAAACCGCATCTTTGCATCGGACAAAGGCAAGAACATTTCGGAAGCAGACAAAACGGCCATTATCTGCGCAAAGCTCTCAGCGGAGGACTACAAGCAGTTCGAGGGAAGTGTCTTACCAAAGAAACTGGAGGAGCTGACGTTGAATGAGACAATCAAACAGCTAACCAAGCTATTCGGAAGAAAAGAAAGCCTATTCTCTCGTCGATTCCGTGCGTGGCAGATCAAAATCAAAGCAGATGAAGACTACTTGGCCTTGGCCGCGCGAATAAAAAAGGTAACGGAAGATTTCGAGATCCAGTCGTTTGGTCGCGAGGATTTGATGACGCAATTGTTTGTGCAAGCTTCTTCGTCTCATACCATAATCAGGAAGAGGATGATCGAAAAGACGGACGAGCACCAGGCCAAGGTGAACGCAGCGGAGGACGCAAGCACGGTGCCCGATCTCACGCTAGACTTCCTCACTGAGACAGCACAACGATTAGCGTATCTGGACAAACTCAACAAACTCAACACATCGGTAGAGCAGCCGGGTCCGGTTCAGGAGATTGCAGCTGTAAAAAAGAAAGCCAATTCTCGCGACAACCGACCACTACCGAAATGTCATTTCTGCGGCGGAGCGCATTGGCATCGAGATTGTCAATTCAAGGAGAAGACCTGTTACGATTGCAAGAAGACAGGCCACAAGAAGGGGTTTTGCGACTCGGCTGCAGCCTTCCGCGCGCGCAATGACAAGACAACGACATTAGTAGGCGAAATCACAATGGTGAAATCGACTCGCAAGTTCGTCAAGCCGTTAATTAATGGCGTGTCAGTAACATTGAAACACGATACTGGTTCGGATTGGACGATGATCTCAACGGAGAATTGGAAGCGAATCGGACGACCCAAGCTAACACCAGCGAAAATTACAGCAGTCAGCGCTTCGGGAAATCAAGTGGAGAATCTCGGCTACTTCTCGGCGGCGCTAGAACTTAATGGCAATATAGGCATAACCAATGTATACGTTTCACAACACGGTCTCAACCTATTCGGCAATGGAACAATGGAAGCGCTGAACTTGTGGGACGTTCCAATTGCGGCGGTGTGCAGCAGCATCACGGACACGCATACGTCCCTAAAGAACGAGGTGAGAAACAAATTTCCCAAGTTGTTCTCATCTAAATTGGGGAAGTGCAACCAAACAACCTTCTCGCTGACACTCGTGAAGGATGCCAAGGTCCCCTTTATACGTGCTCGTCCGGTACCGTTTGGAGCACGGAAACAGATTGAGGACGAGCTGAGACGATTAGAGGAGCAGGGTATTATCTCGCAGATCAATTATGCCGAGGCAGCCACACCCATTGTGGCTGTCAAGAAAAAAAACGGGAAGGTGCGTATCGCAGCTGACTACTCGACGGGATTAAATCGAGCACTAGAGCCCTACCATTACCCCCTACCTACCCCCGAGACGATTTTCGCTTCACTATCAGGTATGAACACCTTCAGCAATCTGGACCTATCAAACGCGTTTCTGCAGGTGGAGCTTGGGGAGGAGGCGAAGCGATACATGAATATCAATACGCATATTGGACTATTCCAAGTGAATCGCATGCAACCAGGAGTCAAGACGGCGCCGGGTCAGTTTCAGCAATTAATGGACTCCATCCTGACTGGATCAGGAGCAATGGCATATCTCGACGACATTATAATCCCAGGCAAGGGAGTGGAGGATCACGGACGTCGTCTGCACGAGGTACTCAGGAGACTGGAGAACGCTGGTCTCACACTGGCAATCGACAAATGTACCTTTGGTCAGCCAGAAATCAAATTCTTGGGAAAAATTATTGACAAAAAAGGACAACGCCCGGATCCTGAGAAGCTGCAAGCCGTCCGAATCTTACCACAACCTACGGATGTGACCCAATTGAGGGCTTTCCTGGGAGCAGTAAACTGGTACGGATCGTTCCTGCCACACCTCAAAGACCTACGAGGACCGTTGGACGACATGTTGCGAAAAGGAGAGAAGTTCCTGTGGACGAGGGAACGAGCTGAGGCTTTTACCAAGCTCAAGCAGGCACTACATGCCAATCTGGCATTGACGCATTACGATCCAAAGAAACCTCTTATCGTGGCGGCTGATGCGTCAAGCTATGGAATTGGGGCCACGCTCCTTCATCGGTTAAATGACGGATCCTTGAGACCAATTGTGCACGCCGCCTCCTCGTTCAACGATGCGGAGAGGAACTATCCGCAGGTGGAGCGTGAAGCGCTGGCGTTGGTGTATGCGGTCAAGAAATTCCATGTGTATATCTACGGGCGTAGGTTCGAGCTACATACGGATCACAAACCGCTCTTAAAGATCTTCGGGGGCAAGACAGGAATACCCGTACACACAGCGAATCGCCTTCAAAGGTATGCGCTCACACTGCTCGGATATGACTTCTCAATCCACTATGTTGATGGAGCAAGTTTCGCGTATGCCGATTTCGTATCACGACTAATTGAATCTCACGCAAAGCCGGGTACGGAGGATGTGGTGATTGCATCAATTCGAAAAGAGACGTCGCAGAGTGGGGCAGACGACGACAACACCGAGGATAGCGTGGCGATAGAGACACTTAAGACACTACCAGTGTCAATGAGCGAGCTCAGGCAAGCTACTAGGAACAGCCCTCACTTGCAGAAGGTCATCGGTTACGTGTCAACATCATGGCCGCGAATGAAGAAGCAAATCGGAGACCTGGAGGCGGCCGAATTCTTTACTCACCGTCTAGACTTGCAGGTGGTGGGTGATTGTTTGTACCACGGAGATCGACCTGTCATCCCACCCGAGCTGCGCCGGAAGATGTTGGAAGAGCTTCACGATGGACATCCGGGGGCGTCTCGCATGCAAGCACTCGCACGAATGCAATGTTTCTGGCCGGGAATCAATCAGCAGATCAATTCATTTGTACAACGATGCGGTAGGTGCGCAATAAATGCTAAGACACCAAGGAAGGAGACGCTACACCCGTGGCCGCAACCGAGTCGCTCATGGGAACGTCTTCACATCGACTTCGCTGGGCCGATGGACGGAGATGTCTTTTTGGTGGTCGTGGATGCGCTCAGCAATTGGCCAGAGATAGTCCGGATGCGCTGCACAACGGCGAACAAGACGGTGGAGGTGCTCGAGGAGATTTTTGCGCGTTGGGGTCCCTGTAAAACAATCGTGTCAGACAATGGCCCACAATTTGTATCAAGTACCTTCAAGGAGTTTTGCAAACGTTACGCGATCGAGCACATTACGTCGGCACCGTACCATCCTCAGTCAAACGGTAGAGCCGAACGTTTTGTTGATATCATGAAGACAGGGATGAAAAAGCTGGAAGGAGAAGGCAACACTGACGAGAAATTGCGCTCGTTCTTGGCGAATTACCGCAGAACTCCATCATACGCGCTGGAGGGCAAATCTCCATTTGAGCTGATGACGGGCAGGAAGATGCCAACAAGACTCGACCATCTTCAAGCAGGAGCGATGGAGGAACGGGAACCGTCAAAGAGGATTGTAAACATGGCGCAGCAGTTTGATCGTCATCACGGAGCGAAGCATCGAACGTTTGAGCAGAACGAACCAATCTACTATCAGATGTATCATAACAATGGGTGGACATGGAGAGCTGGAACGATCGTCAGGCAACTCGGAGCGGCCAACTACGAAATCAAGATCGGAGACCGAGTGATTAAAGCGCATACGAATCAACTGAAGCGATGTTTTGTCAGCGACACGAACGATCAATCACCCGACTACCCCAGTTCAGCCATCAGCAACCCCTACGTCCCTCAAGGACCTCCAGTAGACGAAATAGGACTCGAGGACGCGACAAGGCAGAGTGACGACTCAGCAGAGGACTCCTTCCATAGTCTCACGAGCCAGTCAGAACAAGAAGACGAGGAAGAACAGCTACCAACTCCCCCACAACCGAGCGAGGGCAGACCTCGGCGAGCAACAAGACCGCCGACATATCTCAAGGATTATATACTTAGCGTGTTGGCGGAGCGGCAGGAGCACGAAAGAGAGACGACGGAAAATTCTTCAGATTTCATACTTTAATCTTAGCGGGGAGGAGTGTAGTAGACGCGACAACGTGAGTTGGCGGTTGATTCCCTTCTATGTACACAGGTGTTTTTGTGGTTTTGGGCTCGCGGGCCAGTGGGCGCTAGGCTGTCGTGACGGGCGACGAGGTTACAAGACCCGAACGGCACCTTATGTACGATTAAGAAATAAAGCATTAATTTCGATAAACAGACAGAGCTGGAGTCTTTTATCACAACTACAAGCAGATTCGAGGACGAAAATTCCTTCCCGCGGTAAAGTTGATTAAACACGTAAGTCGCAAGTGTTTTTGGCACGGCGCGCTGCGCGCGCCCCACCCCCTATCCCACCACCACCTCCGCCCACCCCCTCCCCCT